TTTCAGAATACTCTTTCCTTGCTGTTTTGATTTACCTTTAAGAACCATGTTTTTGTCCTCGTACTTTGTTCACAGCATTACACAGATTACTTTGTGGTTATAAAAATTTCTACCCAGGTTTTATTTTCCAAATATTAGTTACTATACTGAACAAGAAGCACAGAGTAGAATGTATATATAAGATTGATATCCTTGCATATCTCCCTAGCTGATCACTTGTGGAGTCAATTTTGATCTTTTATAATTATATTATAGCTGGGAATTTGGGAACATTGTTTCTTATATACATATTTTTCCCCATTATTGAGATATAGGACTAAACCTGACCTAAAAGTGAATGTAAAGATTTTAACTGCTTTGTTCTGGTTTTATATCTGCAATTATTTTATAAATATTCATACACAATTTTTCACATTTAAGGTTATCTTCACCATGAGTAGAAGAAGGGGAAGGAGCAGTAGCTCAGACGAAGGACTTGACAGCTTTCACATATCGGCATTTGAGAGAGGAGACACAGGGCTGTTGGATGACGAAGGTAATTTGTTTCTTCGTCACAGTTCGTACGTTTTGTTTGCTTATCTTGGAGAGTGAATGAGTGTATAGTGATTGTGAATATGATGTTATTGTAATATATGATTAAGTGTTTTATTGTTAATGTATATGTATATATATATATATTTATATCTTTATATATTTATATATTTATATATTTATATATATTGTCATTGTTGCTTCTCACTTTCAGATGGTCTCGATGTGCTTCTGGGATCTCGTTTAGAGGAGGAATTAAACTGCAGTATTGAAAAGATGAGGGAAGAAGAGGCTGTCCCCATTGCTAGATTAATTCGTATGTAAACTTTGTTCTTTAGCCGTAATGGCAATGAAATCCTCTTCTCTTTCCTCTCTTCTTTGTCCTCCTGATCCTTGGCATTCTTCATCTACTTTCTCCTCTGATGCTGCCTCCTCCTCCTCCTCCTCCTCCTCCTCCTCTTCCTCTTCCTCTTCCTCTTCCTCTTCCTCTTCCTCCTCCTCCTCCTTCTCCTCCTCCTCCTCCTCCTCCTCCTCCTCCTCCTCCTCCTCCTCCTCCTCCTCCTCCTCCTCCTCCTCCTCCTCCTCCTCCTCCTCCTCTTCTTCTTCCTCCTCCTCCTCTACCTCTTCTTTCTCCTCCTCTCATTTCTCCTCCTTTTCCTCCTCCTTTTCTTCCTCCTTTTCTTCCTCCTTTTCTTCCTCCTTCTCTTCCTCCTCCTCTTTCACTTCCTTCTCCTCCTCTTCCTCTTCCTCTTCCTCTTCCTCTTCTTTCTCCTCCTCCTCCTCCTCTTTCTCTTCCTCCTTCTCCTCCTCTTTCTCTTCCTCCTTATCCTCCTCTTTCTCTTCCTCCTCCTCCTCTTTCTCTTTCTCTTTCTCCTCCTACCTCTTCCTCCTCCTCCTCCTCCTCCTCTTTCTCTTTCTCTTTCTCTTTCTCTTCCTCTCCCTTTCCCTTCCCCTTCCCCTTTCCCTCTCCCTTTCCCTTTCCCTTTCCCTTTCCCTTTCCCTTCCCCATCCTACCCCTTTCTCCTCCTTGTTCTCCTCCTCCTCCTCTTTCTCCTCCTCCTCCTCCTCCTCCTCCTCCTCCTCCTCCTCCTCCTCCTCCTCCTCCTCCCCCCCCCCCTTCCTCCTCCTCCTCCTCCTCTTCCTTCATTCCCTTTTCCCTTTACCTTTACCTTTCCCTTTCCCTTTCCCTTTCTCCTCCTTGTTCTCCTCCTCCATCTTCTTCTCTTACTCTTTTTAATCAGACTTGTGAATTTGTATAGAAAGTTTGATTTGATAATATAAATATCAGCTGAAAAGATTTTGCATCTGAATTTTTAAACATTTTTAGTTTTTTTAAATTGATATATATATATATTGATTTTTCTTCTTTATTGTTCCCCCATAGTAAGAAACTGCTTTTCCTTTGATGTTTTCTAATGAATCTCTTGTGTCACAGGTCTGGAAGGATCATTAGGTAGCAGCAGTCAAGGAAGCAGTAACAACAGTCCACATCCACTTGTGATGGAATCGGCAGCTGCGCATCTCAGTGGCACGCTGGAATTGCTAGAGGATGTGGAAATGCCTTCACTGAGTTTGTGTGAAAGCGCAGAGCTTAGTGTCTCTCGTGTCTATATCACCAAATAGCCCCATAAAGTTGGGTTTTAGCTTTAAGGTATGTCGTTGTTGTCGTTGATGTGTTGTGGTACCTGTTATATTTGATATTTTATCAACATAAACACCTGTATATACAGAAAAAAAACTCACATGCACAAGCACAAAAAGATTATCTCATTATTAATTATGCTTGATATAGAATATCTCAAAAATCTATTATTGTATTAATTAGTTTGTGTTTGTCATTATAGTTCTCATTGGAATTGATATTGGTATTGTTATATTGTCAGGATGATGGCCCTGCAAATGGCACTTTTGTGGCCAATGAGCAGAGGGGGAATGTGTATTCTGTATCGTCTTCAAATTACAGAAAGCCACCGCCTACAGAAGAATTTGGTAAGACAGAGTGACTTTTATTATAGTATCATCTGATCTTTGAAGTACACATAGAAACATTATTCATATAATCATTTTACAATGGGAGAGAAAGATTTGCTCTTTCTCTTGCAAGCTCTGTAAAGAAAAATGAGTAAGGTTCTTTTGCACTTGTTTCTACACTTGATGTTCCATACAGATACCTTTGTGTTTTTGCAAATGGCAGGTATATAGAAGTAGTAAAAGCTGTCACTAATACATTGTCATCTGATCTTTTGTCATCACCCAAAGAGATTCCCCTACATTCTTAGAGACTTTATCCAATGTCAGCTAGTTTGAAACTTGTATATGTATATTTCAGATTTTGAATTTTGAAATCTGTACAGTTGACTTGGTGGGTTTATCTCTCACATGCATATAATATTAGTAGGAGTGAATAACAGTTTTATTATGATGAAGTAATTAAAATTCACATATTAGTATTCATATCACTGATCTCCATCTTTAGATTTCCTTGTAGTTTAGAAAGTATCTTTGGTATTATTACTTTCCTGCCAAAGTTGATTTCCTGAATATTCAGTCTTGAAAATAAAAGCACAAATAAGATTCATTTAAGTTAGTTTTTGATATAAAAGTCATGCAAACACCAAAATCAGAGACAAGTCAGTATTTTAACTTGCAATGCAAATATACAGATATAAAATCTAAGCCAAATTGATACATATAATTTATAAGGAGGACATAGTGACTCTTCTAGCAGCTAGAAGAGGCACTAGCAGCTTATGTAGCCCAGTTAGCCTTCTAAGAAATGATGACAAGCTTGCTACTTTCTTTTTCTTTTTCTCTTTTTATCAGTAAATAATTTCGGTCTCTGGGAAAGAATTATCCTTCTGACTCATTTATTTTCCTCTTTTGAGTTAACATGTTCATTTTCAGCCACCTCATCTTATTTATTCTCTTTATTTATTGTATATTTGTTGCTTTGTGATTCACTAATGTTATGGTATGGGCGCATAGATATTCCAATCATGTATACTGAAAGCTATGGAAGGAATACATGGTTTCTTGAATCCCAACTGCTGGGGTCTCTAAGATAATATCTAACATTCTCTCTTCATCATACAGATATAGCAGACAAAATTGCCATGTTGAGTGCTATGCCTTCAACATCTCCATCAGTCAATACACTCATAACATTGGATGACAAGGAGGTTAGTTTTGAGAACTGGTATAGAGACAGTATTTGAAGTCACTCTTAGAAAAGAGTGAATTAATGCAAAAGTAGAAATCCACAGCATATCCAATGAATGAAAATAGCTTTAAGTTTAGTAGGGTTTTTATTATATATGGCTATCCTTTATATGTGTTGTGGCTTGTAGAGTTGAGTCACATGTAGCAGAAGTATATGACTGATATCAAATTTTTACATGCTTTACATGAAATATATTCTAAGTGTGATATCAAGTTGTCTTTGCATTAAGATACAATGGCTATTTTCCATTTATGGGTTTTAAAAACTGGTCAGCATCTCTATATGGCAACCTTCTTTTGCCTTATCATTATTAGTATAGCAGATTGAATTCATGTTGAAAGAAATGTAAATGAGAATGAATATCTTCACAGCATGTGAGATATATCAGACTTGTTTTGGCTCTACATGCATGTATTTTTTATGAAAATCTCAGAACCAGTAAAATACACCTCATGTGCTGTGATATTCATTCTCAGTCACACCTTTTTCTACATATTGGTATAAGAATGATGTGTTCTTTAACTATCATTATTATTAGGTGTTATTATTATTGTCATTATTATTATTTTTTTTTGTATTTTTTTCATAATTACCATTATAATTATTACACTTGACAGATCTCACAAAATGCAGCACGCAGAATGACCCTAGACCAAACCAAGTCATTCTCGGGGGCATTCCTGGCTGAGGCTTGTGGCATTGTCGAAGAGCTGGATGGATTAGCGGCCAACATGACCTCTTCGCCCCTTGTCTCTCCTGAACGTCGGGTATCCCCAGACAGGAGAATGACTCTGGGACCCGATATGGATCTCTTAGGTGGGTTTTTTATTTGGCTGACCTGAAGTACCCTCATGTTTCAGGATTTATACTCTAGGTGTCGTGGCTTTAAGCCGGTGTCTCATTTTCTTTTCGTGATTTTTTTTTTTTTTTTTCAAATTTCAGATGTGGAAAACATGAATGACAGTCTCCTCTCATCTCTAGCAATTGCAAATTCGCCAGTGAAGAAACCAGCTGTGTCTACTGTTCCTTCACCATTGCCAGGTCCTGAAGTGAAGGTTAGGAAACAGATTAAAATAAAGAGTATAGGAGCTCTGTGTGTGTGTGTGGGAGGGGGGGTCTCTTTTTGCATCTTATTTTCTTTTATTCGTCCTTTTCATACTTTAATGAACATTTTTTTTAAATACTATTTTATTACTTTTTTTCTGTCTTGCTGCATACTGCACAGTATTATCTAGAAAGGATAAATCATTTGGAATTAATATTCGTTCCATATTTTTTCCCCTGAAGGTTAAGGCTCTAACAGTTCCAGCGAAAGCAGTCGATTGTACATATGATCGCCTTGCCCAGCTGCTGAATGAGACCCAGGATATTGTTAGTGGTCCTGCTGCTGCTGCCCTAGGAAGAGCAGGTGATGTAAAACCTGGGGCAGTCAACTCTACTTTCCTGCAGAGTAACAACCAGAAACTTCTGAACTCTACTTTTGATAGAGAGCAGCCTCCTGCTGAGGAGAAGCTGGCCAATAATCCCAATGCAAATGCAACCTTTGATCAGAAGCATATGATTGCTGCAACCAACCAAACATTTGACAGGTTGGAGCACCAAATGGCAGCAAATACTACATTTGAAATGCCAGACAACCTCATAAACACAACCTTTGACAGGAAGGAAAACCAGCAGGCAAATACCACCTTTGACTTCCAGGCTGAAGCAAAGAATGAAGTTCATTTATTATTTATTATTTATTATTTATTATTATTTATATTTATTATTTATTATTATTTATATTTATTATTTATTATTATTATTTATATTTATTATTTATTATTTATTATTATTATTATTATTATTATTATTATTATTATATTATTATTATTATTATATTATTATTATTATATTATTATTATTATTATTATTATTATTATTATTATTATATTATTATTATTATATTATTATTATTATTATATTATTATTATTATTATTATTATTTATTATTATTATTATATTATTATTATTATATTATTATTATTATTATTATTATTATTATTATATTATTATTATTATTATATTATTATTATTATTATATTATTATTATTATTATTATTATTATATTATTATTATTATTATATTATTATTATTATTATTATTATTATTATTATTATTATTATTATTATTATTATTATATTATTATTATTATTATATTATTATTATTATATTATTATTATTATTATTATATTATTATTATTATATTATTATTATTATTATATTATTATTATTATATTATTATTATTATATTATTATTATTATTATTATTATTATATTATTATTATTATTATTATTATATTATTATTATTATTATTATATTATTATTATTATTATATTATTATTATTATATTATTATTATTATATTATTATTATTATATTATTATTATTATTATTATTATATTATTATTATTATATTATTATTATTATATTATTATTATTATATTATTATTATTATTATATTATTATTATTATTATTATTATATTATTATTATTATTATTATATTATTATTATTATTATATTATTATTATTATATTATTATTATTATTATATTATTATTATTATATTATTATTATTATATTATTATTATTATATTATTATTATTATTATATTATTATTATTATATTATTATTATTATATTATTATTATTATATTATTATTATTATATTATTATTATTATATTATTATTATTATATTATTATTATTATATTATTATTATTATATTATTATTATTATATTATTATTATTATTATTATTTATTATTTATTATTATTATTATTATATTATTATTATTATTATTATATTATTATTATTATTATTATATTATTATTATTATATTATTATTATTATATTATTATTATTATTATTATTTATTATTATAGTTATTATTATTTATTATTTATTATTATTATTATTATTATTATTATTATTATTATTATTTATTATTATTATTATTATTATTATTATTATTATTATTATTATTATTATTATTATTATTATTATTATTATTATTATTATTTATTATTTATTATTTATTATTTATTATTTATTATTTATTATTTATTATTTATTATTTATTATTTATTATTTATTATTATTATTATTATTATTATTATATTATTATTATTATTATATTATTATTATTATATTATTATTATTATATTATTATTATTATATTATTATTATTATTATTATTATTATATTATTATTATTATTATTATATTATTATTATTATATTATTATTATTATATTATTATTATTATATTATTATTATTATTATTATTATTATTATTTATTATTATTATTATATTATTATTATTATTATATTATTATTATTATTATATTATTATTATTATTATATTATTATTATTATTTATTATTTTTTATTTTTATTATTATTATTATTATTATTGTTATTATTATTGTTTGTTATTTATTACCTATATTATTTATAATTCATGTTTTATTATTATTATTATTATTATTATTATTATTATTATTATTATTATTATTATTATTATTATTATTATTATTATTATTATTATTATTATTATTATTGATATCATCAATATTAATATTTACTTTTATTAAAGTTAGAGAAAAGATTATTAATTGTCCTTTATGATATATGATATTTTATCTTATATTAATTATTTTCTTTATTACTTTACATAAATGTGTGATTGTTTGTTTGTTTGGTTAGTATTAGTGATTATTGGTGAATGGTTTCTAATCACATTTCATTGCTTCAAGGTTTCAAAATGGGACACTTGGACCAGCAAGCAATGAGCAACCAGCTGAGACGTCTTCACAATGCCCCTACAGCTGTGCGCGGTACTTCAGGTCCAATGAGGGCCTTGCCAATGCATGCTTTCCCATTACAGCAAAGTTGTGGAAAACAAGTGGAAAATGCAATCACTCCGGGTGTGTATTTTTATATTTCACTACTTTTATCATTAACATACATTAGTATGAACTAAAACTTGGTATTACGATATTGGGAGTAGAAACATGATGTTCTACTGTTTGGAATGTTATTGAATGTGAACCTAAGTTTAGTCTAACCTTTTAAAATTTATTTGAATAGGACTGTATCCATTCAATATGCATTTTTATTCTTTAGACATTGGATATTTATTCAGCAGCAGGTCTCAAACCTGGAGCAAATGTAGCCCACCTTTCCTGATGTTACTTTGTTTGATACTTATAGATGATGAAGGCATAACAGCTCTTGACTATAACACTCCTGCTGAACCTGCTGTAAAAGATGCAAAACCCACTTTTGGATCACTAAGTAGCATTGGTAAGTGATTTAGCTGGTCAGTTATTTGGATATAAAGAAAACCTGTACTTATATACATTTATCCCTGAGTTTTTAGCTATTGTCATATACTTGATTATTGCACAAATGTAATAATGGTTAATGGTTAAAATAGATATGTTTGACATCAAAAGTCATATTGCACTATGGTAAAGTAAAGATTAGTTAACAATAAGTGGACAGAACAAGGGGATGAAGAAGAGATGGAAAAGAAAAGGGGGAGAAGAGGAGACCATGCAAAATTGGTTGGGGGGGGGGGGGGGGGGGCTTAAGTCCAAGGTAGGGGTGATCCCCAACATTGGGCCTCTGTCTTTGTCTCCTAAGCCCCCCCATGAGAACAATGTGCAAGGGATTGGGGGGTCTACAAATGTAATAAAGATATATCATTAGTATTTTGGTAAAACACAGATAATGAAAATTTCATGTTTAATTATAGGAACTTTTCCTGCATCATTAGAGGTTTGTTTTTATATGATATTTATCTTTTTGAAGAGATCGGGACTAGGAATGCAGGACTCTCATTCTATCCTTATTCCCATCATTTCAGAAAATGAACGACCATGTACCCCTGATATAGGAATAACAATGGATCATCGCACATCAACACCAGATGTTTTCAGGTATGTATTCTGATTTACTGTAAGAGTGTGATACATGCAGTAGTGGACCTAACATGCTGTCTGGGAAAATAAGCCACAGGTCACTTTTGTGTTGAATTTCTGAAGTTGTTGCTGCTTTTATCAGTTGCTTGAAAATAAGAAACAAAGGTCTGTAACTTCTCTGGTTCATGCCATTTTCTTAGTACTTTCAGATAATTTAGATTCAGATAAATATTCCATACAAAACTTTGATGAAACAAATAATAATTTTGGTGAATTAGATGTGATTCGTTATGAAAAATTCAAGGATCTATTACTTCTAACTCAACAATTGAAAAATGACTTTGTCACCTTTGCTATTTGTGTGAGACTTATCATTTCTTTGTTACATCTGTCAGTGATATTAGTAGCTATCATTGGTGTATAAGAGCTAGTAGAAATTGTAATTTTCTTGTAAATCTTGTTAAATTTGGTGTATTAGTTATCTTTTAGTATCTGTAAACTATATGTATACTGAAGACTTGGATATTAGATTATGCATAAACAGAGCAATGTATTTTGTTTTGTTTGAAAATACAATGATGGAATATTTTCATAATTTTTTTTCTTTTTCTTCTTATTTTTTATTATTTTTATTACATTATTGTTAATTTTATTACTCCTCTCACCTTCTTTATTATAGTTTTTATGATCATTCTCATTATTAATATTCTGATTTTTATGGTCATTCTTAATTTTAATATTATATTGTTGTTGTTGCTATTATTATTAGTTGTTGCTGTTATTTTTGTTATTATCATCACTATTATGATTATAATTATTATTGTTTATTATTATATTGTTGTTATTACTATTATTATTATTATTTTATAATTATTATTGTTATTGTTGTTATTACTATTATTATTATTATTTTATAATTATTATTGTTATAGTTGTTATTGTTATCATCATTATCATTATTATTATTATTATTATTATTATTATTATTAATTCAAGGCCTGGCGACCCTGGCAGTGGGCCTCGAATTACCAGCACTCCAGCAATGAGAGGTGGCGTCTTCTCCAGAATGGTGGGCATGGATGGGCCTGCTCCAACGCCCATCGTCGCTCCGATCCCACGACTTCAGAGAGTTGTTAGCATTGCCAGCACAGGGTCATTGCCAGAAGGTAGTCAAGGTCAGTGATTGATAGCTTTAACCCATTCCCGCCGGGCATGCCATACCATGGCCAAAGTGAGATTACTTGTTAGATTGTTTTCACACACAGATGGCTACACTTGTACTAAATTACCAATGAGCCAGTTACGAGTACCGCCTGTCTCGCCCGTTCACCCTTTTCTTTGATTTACAAAATATTTTACGGTATCTTATTTTGCTGTTACTAATGTTAAAAAACATTATAAAAATTACAATGTTTATGATAAAAATAACACCATCGATATTCATGGCACTAGTGAAAAATATGTTTCAAATCAGGCGCTAACAGAGTCATCTATGGGCAGACATTTAACAAAAAAGTATAGAAAATAGGCACAGCATTTTCCCCATTTTCTGTTCATTTTCCCCGGCGGCAATGGGTTAAGATTGGGGGGGGGGGGATATTGAAGTATTTCTGCTTTTAGTATTCAATGCTCTAATTTATGTACTCTAATTTATTTTGTGTACTTTTACAGATCCTAAGTGGCCTGGACTCTCACATGACTCCACTAAAGACAGTAAGGGTGGCATTGGCACTCCAGCAAATCATCACTCAGGAAGAATCATACAAGCTGTTAAGCTAAATCATCGGAGTGAGGATAATCTTATGGCTGATTCTAATGAAGTTGATGTACAAGATAGAAAAGTTGAGCCTCTGTTACAGAATGAAGATTTAGATAAAGCGATACCTTCACTTGATACAGGAAAAGAAGTGCAGGAGGAGGAGATTGTGGACAGCCAAAGACTTAACCAAGATGGTGATAAGCAAGGTGCCATAAACAAACAATTCCCTGTAGCACAAGAAAATTCCCAGCATGCATGTGATGGCTTACCAGATGAAATAGTAAGCAGGAAGGAAGTAACCAAAGACCTGAAGAAAGATTGTCCAGAAATACTAAACAGGACATTAGATTTACAACCTTCAACAGATGTAAATGTTGATGGAAGTCAGGCTACTAACAATGAGAATGAGATTAATGTAGAAGAGCCTGATGTTCTTACTGAAGAAATGCCATCTGGAAATGTGCATCAGTCTGAGTTCAGAAACAACACAGCAAAGCCTCTAGTTGATATTGCTAACCATGAAGTAAGAGCTGACTGTGAGAAACAGACAGATACTGCTGTCATTACACAAAGCCAGTCTAGTAGTAGTATTGAAGTGAAGGCAAATTGTGAAGCTTCTGATGCCTGTGATCCTGATTTACTTATCAATATTGATGAAAAGAACCCAACACTTAGCATTGTGCCACAAGTTATCCAAAGTATTCAGACTGAAGTTTGCTTAAATGATACTTTTGAGGCTGAGCAGTCAGATTCAAGTGCCAAAATCAAAACTGAAGGTCATCATATTCAACAAGAAAACATTCCAGAAGATAAAAATAACCTCTCAGAAAGGCCAGGAAAAGATATTTGTGCAGAGAGAAAGGTCAACAATAGCCAGGCAGAAAGACCTAGGCCCAAACGAAATATCAGTGCTGAAAGTAACGAGTCCAGTAACAATGAAGGAGAGTCACATACTAGTAGCGAGATGAATGCAGAGTCCAACAGACAGACTAGACTGAAAAGATCATCACTTACACATGCAAGAAAGGTTCCAACACCTGTGTCATCCGCAAAACCCAATCTTAAAACTACAAAGAAATTAGATACTAGTAAAAGTAGTACTTGTAGTAATACAAGTTTCTCAAAGGTAGACCAGAAAACATCACTGAAAAAGGTTGGTGGTCAGTCATCCAGACCTACTGCAACAGATAACAAGAACCCACAAGCCATGGTAAGACCTGCTTTAGGAATACGCAGGAGTTTACCTCATTCTAGTCCATCTCAGAAATCCAATAACAGCATTACAAAGTCAAATAAAGAGAATACCCTTGGCAAGCAAGTTGATGGAAATATCAAACATCCAGAAACTCAGATTAAGAGTAAGCTATCTTTAACAAAAGGAATTAATCCACCAAAACGAACAGTCCTTGGCTCCTCAAACATTCAGATCAGGAAAAGTATTGTTGTTCAGCCTGAGAAACAGAAAAATGGACTTGCTTTAACAAAAAATTCACCTCTCAGAGCTACCACTGGGGCTTTAAAAAATAAAGATCCTGGTGAATCATTAAAAGGAAGAACTAAATCAGTCCAGTCTAATAGCACACATGGGCAAGATATAGATAACAAAACCACAAGCCAAGGAAGATTAAAACCACCGAGTAAGAGAATGAAGCCATCTTCTCCCCTCAAGAGTCCACCAAAAGCTGAGCTTAAACAACCCCAAAAGCTCCCACAGCCTACCCAAAAGATAGCTGTAGCATCCCATGCTTCAGGATTTACAAGTAAAATGGCAAGGCCACAAATGGCTTCAGGTCTTCAACCCCCTGCAGCTCAAAGCAAGATTACATCATCTGGGAACAGTGCAGTTTCCAAGCTGCCTGGATTACGACCTCCATCAAATATTAAGCCTGTGGCAGTGAAGAGGGTTTCTGGGATAATGCCTCCCACTGCAAACAAGCCAAATGTGCTTCGGCCTCCAAGACCAATGGCTCGATAATTAGTCTTAATACACACACTGATCAGATGTCAGTATTTATGGGAACAGTGGC